ACCCTTCGAGATGAGGTTAATATTATCAATAACAAATATATTCTGCATGTATCAATGGCAGGTAGGATTATGGTGTATATTTAACAGGGATATTATCTGGTACAAAGTACAGGTAGGTGGGAGAAAGCACTGAGATCAGGGACATATCTTGATGTAAGTTTTAACTTTTGACTTTCCATAGAAGGTAGGGTATAACCGGGTTTTGACCTAGACTTTTAGCTGGTACAAGCTACAGGTAGGTTGAGGAAACCCTTCGAGATGAGGGTAATATTATCAATACCAAATATCTTCTGCATGTATCAATGGCAGGTAGGATTGTGGTGTATATTTAACAGGGATATTATCTGGTACAAAGTACAGGTAGGTGGGAGAAAGCACTGAGATCAGGGACATATCTTGATGTAAGTTTTAACTTTTGATTTTCAATAGAAGGTATTACCGAGTTTTGACCTGAACTATTAGCTGGTACAAGCTACAGGTAGGTTGCGGAAACCCTTTGAGATCAGGGTAATATTATCAATAACAAATATATTCTGCATGTATCAATGGCAGGTAGGATTGTGGCGTATATTTAACAGGGATATTATCTGGTACAAAGTACAGGTAGGTGGGAAAAAGCACTGAGATCAGGGACATATCTTGATGTAAGTTTTAACTTTTGACTTTCCATAGAAGGTAGGGTATAACCGAGTTTTGACCTAGACTTTTAGCTGGTACAAGCTACAGGTAGATTGAGGAAACCCTTCGAGATGAGGTTAATATTATCAATACCAAATATCTTCTGCATGTATCAATGGCAGGTAGGATTGTGGTGTATATTTAACAGGGATATTATCTGGTACAAAGTACAGGTAGGTGGGAGAAAGCACTGAGATCAGGGACATATCTTGATGTAAGTTTTAACTTTTGACTTTCAATAGAAGGTATTACCGAGTTTTGACCTGAACTATTAGCTGGTACAAGCTACAGGTAGGTTGCGGAAACCCTTTGAGATCAGGGTAATATTATCAATAACAAATATATTCTGCATGTATCAATGGCAGGTAGGATTGTGGCGTATATTTAACAGGGATATTATCTGGTACAAAGTACAGGTAGGTGGGAGAAAGCTCTGAGATCAGGGACATATCTTCATGTAAAATTTATCAAGTTACTTTCCATTAAACGTAGGGTATTACCGAGTATTGACCTAAACTTTTAGCCGGTACAAGCTACAGGTAGGTTGGGGAAACCTTTCGAGATCATGGTATTATTATTAATACCAAATATATTCTGCATGTATCAATGGCAGGTAGGATTGTGGCGCATATTTAACAGGGATATTATTTGGTACAAAGTACAGGTAGGTGGGAGAAAGCACTGAGATCAGGGACATATTTTGATGTAAGTTTTAACTTTTGACTTTCCATAGAAGGTAGAGTATTACCAAGTTTGTACCTAGACTTTTAGCTGGTACAAGCTACAGGTAGGTTGCGGAAACCCTTCGAGATGAGGTTAATATTATCAATAACAAATATATTCTGCATGTATCAATGGCAGGTAGGATTGTGGCGCATATTTAACAGGGATATTATTTGGTACAAAGTACAGGTAGGTGGGAGAAAGCACTGAGATCAGGGACATATCTTGATGTAAGTTTTAACTTTTGACTTTCAATAGAAGGTAGAGTATTACCAAGTTTGTACCTAGATTTTTAGCTGGTACAAGCTTCAGGTATAGGTTGGGGAAACCCTTCGAGATGAGGGTAATATTATCAATAACAAATATATTCTGCATGTATCAATGGCAGGTAGGATTGTGTCGTATATTTAACAGGGATATTATCTGGTACAAAGTACAGGTAGGTGGGAGAAAGCATTGAGATCAGGGATATATCTTGATGTAAGTTTTAACTTTTGACTTTCCATAGAAGGTAGGGTATAACCGAGTTTTGACCTAGACTTTTAGCTGGTACAAGCTACAGGTAGGTTGAGGAAACCCTTCGAGATGAGGGTAATATTATCAACACCAAATATATTCTGCATGTATCTATGGCAGGTAGGATTGTGGTGTATATTTAACAGGGATATTATCTGGTACAATGCACAGATAGGTGGGAGAAAGCACTGAGATCAGGGACATATCTTGATGTAAGTTTTAACTTTTGACTTTCCATAGAAGGTAGGGTATAACCGAGTTTTGACCTAGACTTTTAGCTGGTACAAGCTACAGGTAGGTTGAGAAAACCTTGCGAGATCAGTGTAATATTATCAATACCAAATATATTCTGCATATATCAATGGCAGGTAGGATTGTGGCGTACATTTAATAGGGATATTATCTGGTACAATGTACAGGTAGGTGGGAGAAAGCTCTGAGATCAGGGACATATCTTCAGGTTAAATTTATTTTGGACTCTCCATAGAAGGTAGGGTATTGTCTTGGACTATTAGTTTGATGAAACTAGAGGTAGATGACAAAAAATGTCTGGGATCAAGGTTATTTTCTTAAATAAATATTGTTTCCATCCAGAGTACGTAGAGAAATGGTGGATATTGTACTGTTTTTTAAGCTCGTACAAGCTACAATTATCTGCGATCAGGGCTATATTTTCATGTTAATCTTGTTAAAAGCAAAAGTATTTTGATTAGAAGCGTATACTGATCTGGGATTTCAGATCGTAATTTTTCCAGGATATGCTAAAATGAATTCAGCATGCACATTCTACGTAGATGCATGGGAGAAACATTTTGAGAGAGCGTAATATCTTTATGTTTAATTAACCATTTGACTGTCATAGGTCTGTAAGAATATTAGCCTTTTTTGCAGGAATATTAGCTGAAACATGTACAAACTAACGTAGGAGGCAGGTAGGAACGCCCCCCCCCCAACTTTTTTCCAAACATAACTTCTTTATATTGAAAATGTTCTTTGAAAGGCCAGTTGTCCACTCCCCCCCCCCCCCCCCCACTTTTTTGTTACAGTAAAGGTCAAATACGGATGATGTTGTATAGTATTAATAAAATTTGGTACTGTAAGATGTTGTAATTATACCCCCCCCCCTTCCCCCACGAAATAGGATTTTCGAGTTTGGGCAATTTTCCTTCTTTTTTATCTGCTTGTCAACTTTTTCAGGTAAGTAATTTTTTTTTCTCTGGCTCTCCCCCCCCCCCCTTTTTTCAAAAACGATGCTTCATCACTGCGTAGATAAGAGAAATCATCTGAAATCTAGTATATCTCTGAAATGTTAATTAATCTGGGACTGTCCAAAATATATAGGTGAATAGTGTATATTATGCTAGTTTTTAGCTGGTTTAAAGGTACGGATAGCTTGGAAAAAACCCTCTGGGATCAAGACAGTATCCCTATGTTTGTGCGATGTAGGTTAAACGTAGTTTATGAGGTACTCTCAGATGATACATAATTCAGGGATTTTGGGATAATGACATCTATAACATCAGTTTAAATTGTCGCCCGAGTTCCATTCACTTCACGGAACGTAGAGATTGGTTCTTCGGACGATACGGTATAAACAGAAGTTCCGAGTCGCGGTAGAAGAAAAAAAAAATCCCTCACTGCTAAAAAGGCCCTGAGTGCCAAGTTTAAGTCTAAATTTGCAGCCCTCCACCGGTAAATGCTGGTGTCTCAATATGAGTGAACAATCTCGAAGGGGAGTTAAACAAACAAACAAATGTCTAAAATTAATCTGATACCTGTCAAAAATAGGTAGAGAAATTAGGTGCATTGTTTAGAAATATATTTATTTGTACTTTCGAGGGAAAAATAGCTCGAAATCACCTTGTGTGAAATGTACATGAGCTAGAAAAGTTGGGAGTAGCAAATGACAAGGAATATAAGTTGATAGATTAACAAATGTCTTGCTGTATTGCGTTCGGATATACCTCGGTAAACCGTGAGTTTTGTGTGAAAATAAAATCTTGGCGCTAAGTAAGACATTCAGGTAAAATAAAATAAAAAAACTTTTGAAATCAAAAGAAGATAGAAAATGTTTCTTTACTAATATAGGCATATTTCTCAGTAGTAGTTTAGGTATGAGTATATTATTAAAATTAAAAAAAAAATAATACTACAGTAATTGATATCGTACAACTTGAGTGATTTAAAAAAAAATCCATCTTTCAATTATGGAATCGTCGCCTGCATGGGGCGTTGTAAGAGCGTCTGCTCTAGAGTCGCGGAGTAAGGAGTTGATCCTTACGTCGCGGGTTCGAATTGGTCCACTGCGGGACGTGGAGACCGGTCCTTCGGATGAGACCATATAAACCGAGGTCCCGTATCCCACTAGGTGCTGGCACGAAAAAGATCCCTCACTGCTCAATGGACCTAAGTGCCGAGCATAGGTCATCAGGGTTGGATTGGCTGGAAAAATGGGGGCGGGATCTTAAAGCAGCCTCTAAACATATGTTTTTTAAATGTTCATTTGTAACGATACGTGCCTGTTTGCAGGGGATAATAACACCCCCCCCCCCCGCGGATTTTCTATTCCGAATACACATAAACATTGCATCAATCGAAATACAAATGAACATTGAAAAAAAAATACATCTAATAATATAGTTCAACGAATTTTATTTTGAATTTGAATAAATCCACGCTTGTCATCAATTTATCCATATTTGATGATTAATTCAAATGGATACATTGTTTATATGGATTAGTATTTCTACTTTTACCTGTACGACTTAATATATAATTACCAATTGTAAATTGCCAGTGAAATAAATGTAAATTACCTGTGAATATTAATTAAGAATATTTCATTTATTTCCGTGTACATGTATTTAAACACATGTCGAATATTCCACGTACGAGTGAATAGATCTACTACATAATGAACGATAACTCGTACTATGAACGATAACTCGTGTTTGCCTACCTGTACATTGTACCATCTAGCGTTAACCGTATATACATGTATGTATTGGGTGAATAAATCACTTTCTGTCGAGAGAGTGTCATATTTTAGCAATTTTCCAAATAAAACACAATAATCTTCACAGCGCGGACGGTATGACGTCACTAAGTATTCCTGTACCTGATACTATTACTACCTGGGTCGCTACAGCTTTTGCTGTCAACCCTAACTCTGGACTGGGACTGGACCCGTCTCCTGCTAACGTGAGAAATATTTGTGGTATCTTTAGCCTGTAAACAGTTTATATTATGTCCTTAAAATAAAATGTTTCAGCTATTATTTTCAAAACTCTTTGCAAAATTATCTACCTTTATTGCATTAAAACAATTGCATGATACTTGATTACTTTCAGACGATATTTATACAGAGTTGATCGAACCAAAACCTTGAATTATATAGATATCTTTTTTCCCTTGATTTTTTTTTTTAAGTTTTTTTTGTCAAATGTCCACTTTGTAAAAACAATTCCTTTGTCTTATTTATCAGTATTAATTCGGTTGCAGGTTAGAGTGTTTCAGCCTTTCTTTGTGAGTCTGACTTTGCCGTACTCCGTTACACGGGGGGAACTTGTGGTTATCCAAGCTAATGTGTTTAACTATCTGAAAAAAGACATCAAGGTATGAAAAAATTTATCTTATTTGTAAGAATTTCATTGATGAAGTATTTCAGATATTGACATTATTCATTTCCAATTGATCAATATTACACATTATTTTGGAGATTCTATGAAAACATCAATAATTAAACTCTATTGTTGAAATCACAAATAGTTAGGTGTGTACGTTGCAATATGGGAATAGATATCATACAATTGAAATTGGAATAAAAGTAGGAGAATAACAATACGGAAAAGAGTTCTTAATTTGATGGGGAAGGGGCTGTAAAATGTTTTAATCAGAAAACAGTTACATCCAATGTTATTTATTTTTAGTGAGCCAAAACGAGGGATTATTTTCTTCTTCATTAAATGCCAATGATATAAACTACAAATGTGATTTCCGAATAGTTAATAAAAAAGATATTATACTCAATACGTTTTGAAACGTGGCGATATTCACATATTACTTTGCTCATATCTAAATGTTTGAATCTAGGTATATGTATTGATATAATACAACATGCACAGAAAGCATGTTTTACACTAAATATATAGATACTTGGGGGGGAGGTATTTTTTTTCTTTTTTTCTTTTTTTTGACAAGATTTAAATAAATGGTTCAATAGCACATGTTATGAATCATCATATCTGGTTAGTACGATGTTACTCTGGAGAGAAATTTTTCATTTTTGAGGGTTTTTTTTAAAAAGTTGATGAATTTGAGAAGGCAAAACTCATGTCAAAGGTTAATTTTCGGCATTATTTCTCAGATGGGGTAGTAGTGCTTGTAGTTCGTGCGATTTTTCTTGCATCCTTCCATATTTCTTTTTCAGGTTCTCGTTGCCATTGATAAAAACGAGGCCTTCAAAAATATCGTCAATTACGTACAAGATAGCCAAGTAAAATCCGGGAGATTTTCATTAAAAATTGGACGAACATTCAATGTATGTATAATAAAATTATACATAACACACCCACATACAATTGTAAAGCATAGGAAACAAATTACATTGCTCCAATGCTTAAACGTGTTCTTTGAGTTTCTCTAAGTTATACGTTTTCTATTGTACTCTGTTTAAAACCTGTTGCATTACTCCAAAACTGATGTGGTATGACCATTCGTTCATTTCATGTCTTTTTGGCAATTCCTGGATTGTATTGCAATTGGTTTACTTATAGATAGCACCTGGGGAGATCTATCCTGTATATTTTCCTATTGTTCCTTCCGAGATTGGTGATCTCAAAATTAATATCACCGCCACGTCAACTGGTGCTAGTGATGCCATTATCCGGACTCTCAAAGTGGAGGTCAGCGACATTGATTACAGATATTTTGAAATATATTTTGTAGTTGATCAAACATATACAACTTGGATAGATCTAATACAATTTTTTTTTGTTTCGGAAAGGTTACCTGAACCTTTATTAGAAAATAGAAGAATATCTCTTTTATTCACTTAGAAGCAATTTCGAGAGCATTAAATACAAACATTGTAAAGAAAAACATTATTTATATCATTTTCCAATAATTTATAAATGCTTCAGCCCGAAGGAGTTGAGAAGGAATTTAACAACCCTGTGTTGATAAATACTGGTGATGCTGACACATTTTCAGAAGATCTAGAGATATCATTTCCACCAAATACTGTGGCCGGATCAAAGCGTATCACGGCATCAGTTGTTGGTTTGTTTGTTTTTTCTGTTAAAAATATTTTTTTTAAATGTGCAATAAAGTTATTGACAAACAAGTTTATGATACAAGGATATCAACAATTTCTATGGTCGATACAATGGCCTTGTCAGCAAATACAATCTATCATTAAGTTGAATACTGATTGACGTTTTTAAAACTAATTGATAGGCTATTATTTTCAATGAATTGTTTTCGGATATTTCCGTTTGCCCGAACATGACAAAGAGCACACAGCAGGTTGACAGGTGATGCTTACTCCTCCGTGACACCTGATCCCTCGTCTTATGTTTTTAGAGGTCCTTGTTTGCTCTGCCCTCGATTTTTTATTGTTTCATTGGACTTTTGAACTTGATTACTGTTCGTTATCTTCATATCTTATAATAATATAATCAGCTTGAGTGTTCATTGCCATTTGTTCAAACTAATATGGACATTTTTTAATACTTTTGACAAGCACGAAAAAAATTGAATGAAAATTCTTATGGAGATTTCTGAAGGAAATCTGCACTAATACATGTTTTATATCATTTAAATTTTCATTCTTGCAGGTGATACGATGGGTCCATCAATCAGTGGACTTGCATCATTGTTGAAGATGCCATATGGATGTGGGGAACAGAACATGTTGAATTTTGCTCCAAATATTTTTGTATGGAAATACCTAACAATAACAAATAATCTCACACCAGTCCTAGAAAAGAAAGCTAAAGAATACACGATCAAAGGTTAATTTGTTTACTTTTTCTTACGATTCTCTAATAGAACTATAAAATAATTGTATCTCGCTTCCATTCTCACTGACCGTGTAGTGTAGGGCGTCGCCGCGAGAATTCTATCGGCATCGAAGGCAAGTTTTTTTGACTTGCCTAGATGGCTGAGCGGTCTAGCGCGTTGTTCTTGTACTGCTAGGAGAAAGATTCCGTAGGTCGAGAGTTCAACCCCGGGTTGGGGCGGAAGTGGGTATCCTTATAAAAGAATTTCTTTGTGTTTTCTACAATGTATATGTTCAAAATTAAAACTTTCGGCATGCGTTTGAGATATTTGTTCTTGCTTCTTTCCGGTTACCAGAGGCAAATGACATACAGGGTGTTTCATAATATATGTTACATTTTTAAATCTAACTATTTTTCTTATCTATCATAATTCTATTACAAACTATATATCATTTTAAACATCAAATCCTGCATTTTTATTCCATATGAAAAAAGTCAAGGAAATCTTGGTATCACAATGATTAATTGTGACATAAACGCCGATGTCATAATTTGAATATTTTTCGAAGTGGAATTATTTTATCAAAATATTGCTGAATTGTAAAGCTGTTTTTTCAATACATGTCGCCAATATTCATTCAGAAGTTGATGAAGGAAACATTCCAAAAAATGGAAGCTTTTTAGGATGCTTATCAGAAGGTTAGTAACAAGTTTGAAGGACAGGGACGGGTAATATGCGATAAATGACACGGTACTCCAGAAAGCCTAAGGACTTCAATAATCGAAGATTTAATTGGTGAAGTGAGACTCTTAGATAGTTTAGCAAACTCCTGAGAAAAGTGTCAGAACGATGTTTTCGAAAATTGATGCTGGCAACATCAGCATTTGAAGCATATATTGAAATTCGAAATATGATATGAAGTTATCAGCGTACAAATTTTCAATAATGCTATACCCCAAGAAAAGAGATTGATCTCTGCATTCGCCAATCTCAATCTTTGGGCCTTTTTCTGTAGGGGTTCTTTAGGAATAGGGTCTACAATCCTAGAACGCAGATACTGAATGAGCTCAAAAAAAAAATAATAAACCTTCAAATGAGGAGTGTCTAAGCAAAAATGTGTTACAAGATTATACCAATTTCGAAAAGCAACTTTCAATTGTAGTTGATATAGTGGAGATCATTAAAACATGTAGTGTGGGCTTTTGACGTTGTGAAATTCAACGTAACAAAAATGACGTAATTAAGAAATTTCACCAATTTTCATTAATGTTTGAGATTTCGTCCAGTGTGTAATATTTTAGTTGTTAATGGTATATAATGAATCTTATAGATACATGCATCAAGTTGATAAAAACACTTGTCTATATTTTTTTCTTGTGTTTGTGAAATTGAAGCTTCAAAATGTAACATATATTATGAAACACCCTGTATGTCCATACAGACGGATCATACAGCGCTTTTGGAAGAAGTGACGCTTCAGGCAGTACTTGGTAAGAAGCTGATTTGTTTACCTATATTCGAGTTTGATTAAACTTTAAATGCAAACAAATATTTGAAGAATCAATGTCCTTTTGGGAAATAAAAAATTCAAACTTTTTTATGGTAATCTATAATAATCAAATTTGTTAGATATGAGAAAAGATATCTTTTTAATTCTTAATTCTGATGGAGACCTTCGGGATACTTTTCGGGTGGCTTGTTTCTCAGCAAAACAAAAATGGAACGTTCAGAGAACCAGGCAGAGTTATACGTAATAGAATGCAGGTAAAAGTAATTGTATCATATGTAAGAATATCAGGGACGGCGTCTTAATTATGTTTCGTAAAAAATATAAAAGGTGAAGTTATCGAACAGTGATCGATTAAAAAAAATCTATAAATAATAAAAATATGTGAAGAGGTGGGATCAGGTACCTAGGAGGAGTAAGCATCTCCTGTTGGCCGGTCAATTTATACAATTTATATTAACAAAAATTTCCAAAGTTCCGTGTATAAGCACCTGTCCATGTCATCTAGGGATTTATAAACAATCACACACACACACACACACACACACACACACCCTCACACACACACACACACATATTTATTTATTTAATTGTAAAGCACAGAATTATCTACAGCTGTCTTTAGAAATTGAAAAAATGTACATCATTGAATCTGTTGTCTTCGATTCTGTACAAACAAACTACATACCTCACACACGTATTTTTGTATTTTAAGGGCGGTTCAGCAGCAGGCGAGAGGACTCTCACGGCGTTTTCTATTATCGCTCTCAAAGAAGCTGAGAACATGCAGGGAGTATGTCTCTTTTAAATGGTTATCTTGACACTGACAGAAAGGTTAGTGATATAAAAATAAATATTTTTAAATGAATTGATCAATTTTGACTCGTCGTAGAAATGCATTTTTTCTTTTTCTTCCTGGCAATCAGATCTATGTACTACATTAAAATGTGAAAAGTGTTCTGAGCTCAATAAACGTAGGCAAGTTCCTAATAATTGTCATTCTTTGATAACCAAGTAAAAGAGGTACTATTATCTCCAAATAATTTGTACCTAATCATCAAGATTGATTTCTGAAGTTTACACATGAATTAGCCATTGAAATGATTGATTGATTGATTGATTGATTGATTGATTGATTGATTGTTGTTTTACCTCCCTTTCGACAATTTTTCACTCATACAAAGACGACACCATATACCGGTGAAGGGCTTCAAATTTACGCCTTTACTCGGCACTCATGGCCATTGGGAGGGATCTTTATCGTGCCAACGCCTGCCGTGACACGGGGCCTCGGTTTTTAAGGTCTCATTCGAAGAACCCGCAACTTTCACTTCAAAGTTCCGAGCACCTGGCAAAGGAACAGTTGCTACCTATTTTTTATCGACTTAGATCAGTCGCGACCGAGATTGAACTCACGGCCTTCCGATCACGGAGCGAGCGCTCTACCGACTAAGCTACCGTGACGGCGCCATTGAAATGATCCATTCTTATAAACAGTTGTTAACGTTATTGACATCATCTTTTGAGAACACTGGCTGGTATTTGAACGACTCTATTCATATTTGACTAAAACAACATATTTATTTTAAATAGAGCAAAAGTCAAGAAAAGTCTCTATTTGATGAAAGAAGATTGCAAAGAATATTTTTTGGAGAACAGGTTTAGTAGAATGTGAACTTCTTAAGTTTTGATTCTATTCATACTTTTAATTGATCTTGGGATAGACTTTTTACAAGATACTAGTATAATTTCATAAAATATTAGCAGATAAAGTTATCCAATAGACAAGAATTATCATTCAGTTTGTAAATTAACAGGTATGGGAACGGACAAGTGGAGCAATACAGAAAGCCAGGACTTACCTGGAAGGTGATATAGATCTAATGGAGGATGTTTACGAGCTCTCGTTGGATACGCTTTATTAATAAGTGACAGCTCAAGAGTCAGCGAAGTGATTAACAAACTCAATCGTAAAGCTTATGTGTATGAAGGTATATATATGATATCTTATATATTTTATGAATAAATACAAAGAATGCACTGTTTTACACTTTTTTTTCTATCACATTCTACACAAAGATATCTGTTGTCTTTTTTATAAATCCAGCTGGACTTAGATATTGGTCCAATCCAGGAACAGGTATTCAGTGGAAGGGATGGGCTCCTCCTAAAAACCAGGCCAAGGCTGTGGACATAGAAACCACAGCATATGCTCTTCTGAGTCTAGCTATAAATAAAGACTTAGAAGGGGGGTTACCTGTTCTCAAATGGATTACCTCCCAGCGTAACCCTGAAGGAGGATTTGTATCAACACAAGTACTGATTTATGTGTTAGATTTCGATGTATATATCGTTCACAATTCTCAAACAGACTTTAGCATAAAAAGTTGCTATTTTGTATCTGTTTTTTTTTTATTCTTTTATAAAACACTATATCTTGGTACTGTTTTGCATCTGCTAATTTTTTTTGTTTATGGGACACTATCGTGGCACTCCAAGCCTTGGCAGAATTTGCTACAATGGTTCTACAGTCCAAACATAAACATGCGTGTAAGACTTCTCAGCAAAACATTGGGTGCACCATTCCAGCACGAATTTAATGTAACGCGGGAAAACGCACTCATTCTTCAGACCACAGATGTGCGTATAGCTATAATCAAATATTCCCATTGAAAAGAATACGCATTTTGCTATTTATATTTGAGCATAATATAGATTTTTAACGTTTGAATAGATTCCAATAGAAGTGAAAAGCATTGGTGTCATGGCAGAGGGATCAGGCATAGCATTAGCTGAGGTTAGATACTGCTTACAAATAGTATACATTTCTTCCTTTATATCCATTTTCGTGATTAGATGAAGTTAAAAATAGATAAAATTTTATTGCTTACAAACAGTATTTCTTTCCTTATATTCCACTTTTTTTTTTTTTTTTTTTTTTTTTTTTTTTTTTTGAAAATATAATTCTTTGCTTTTTTCGGCAGATATCAACTTACTTCAACATTAATGAAGACATTGAAGTTTCCTCTTTCGACGTTAATGTGACGCTGATAAATGAAACAACAAAAGGGTTCACAGTGAAAATATGTGGAAGGTAATTACAAATCTAATGATCATTAAAATAATGTTATCAATTTATTGTCAATATTTATTATTTCTTTAAGATGGCTCAAAGAAGGTCACTCTGGAATGGATTTGATGGATATCGGAATACCCTCGGGAATGACCCCTGATTTGGATACACTTGATACATCTCAAGCTCCTGTGTATAAAAGGAATGAAATGGGATATAGGAAACTATCTTTGTATTTTGATGAGGTATTTGTTTTGTATTCTTTCAATTATTTTACAACTGTTTTAAAATTTTGTTGTTTTTTTAAAGATTAAATAAGAAAAAAATAATTAATTGATAGCAGCACGTTTTCATGTCTTTAGTTTGACAGACAAGCTCAGTGTGCCTCTGTATATATGGCCAACACAGATAAAGTAGCAGAGAAGCAGCCATCTGTCATAAGGCTCTATGATTATTACGAACCAAGTAAGTACTAATGAATAAAACATTGATATTTTAGTCCAAATGAAATGTTTTATACAAGGGGTGATAAAAAAGTTCGCGAACTAATTGAATTACTTCCTTAAAAGAAATTAAACGAGGTTTCAGTGTTCATTATTCTTTAAAGTAGTCCTGTCCGATTTTAATGCACATCTGCAATAGTTCTGTCCATGCGCGAATCACGTGATCCAGGTGGTCACGTGACATGCTTCGTAGCGGTCTGTTCACAGAGGCTAAGAGATTTTTCCATGTCTTACATTTCTTACCATGCAAGTAATTTTTTATAACAAGAACATACCTTCTGTCATAAATGACCAAATCTCGGCAATAGGATGGGTGGATAAGGATATCCCTTCCCAGAATTTGCATGCTGACCATCACAAACCGAGTCCTCTGTCTCGGGAGCGTCGTTTATCCAATGTTGAAAAGGTATGAGCGCCTTCTTTTTTTCATATCTCATATGTTTAAAGTCTAAAGTAAACGATAATTTAGGGATTTAATAATTATACTATTGCTCAGATATTCAACTATTTTTCTTACTGTAACTTAGCGATCTTTCACAACTAATTGCTCAACTAAGGACACATCTTTTTACTGGCTTGCTCTCGCTGGGCAATAGAACAAACATCATTTTTAACCATCTCCCCGCCTTCACTAAAACATTCAATCCAATTAATGATTGAACTTCTGGTAAGTCTTTTGTCTTCATAAACCTTGTACAAATTATAATATTCTACTGCAAAGAGATTTCCGAGATATACGTTAAACTTTACAGCCGTTCGTTGCTCGAGTACGACTGAGTCAGCCATTTTTTTTGTCACAAGTGACCTACATACTGACGTCATTTTCACATTGTGACGTCACAAACACGGAGCAAGACATTATAAAACATCTGCTATTTATAGAACATGTGAATGACTATATGTGTGCCAAATTTCATTCTGATCTGAATTGTGTGTTTTTTAAATATAGAGATAGTTCGCGAACTTTTTGATCACCCCTCGTATCTTAATTTTATGCTGAGATTAATCCGTTTTTCCATCAGAAAATCAAGCAACCATATTTTATACGTCAAATGTTATGGCGGACTCGGGAGTGTGTGATGTTTGTGGTATGGAGTGCTTCTGCGCAGACTAGGTAAAATAGAAATAAATTACTCCGTCAAACAGCCTCAAGTGAAAATAACAGGCACATACTCTATTTTAGACAAAAGTTTTAATAATTTGTAACATATTTTAATTTCAAATGTAGAAGTATATCTTGTAATTTTAATTTGTATTTTTTCTTTTTCTTTTCAGTCTTAACTATATGGCAGATGAAACCTTGATTTCATATACAATTATGGACTCTTTTGGTGGTGAATATGGTTTGTTATTCACCAGCAAAATATCAATATTGACCGAAGCCACTTTGCTTAGGCTAATAAGTGTAAGGTTGCCAATATTTTTACTTTGTCATTTTATTAAGAAATAGTTCTTCGGGCTTTATGGAATTTGATCTCGTGACCAATCCGTATTTATATCCCGATAGATGTTTAAAAATGATACATTATTACTTATATTTACATTTATGACTAATTCATATTTTATATTTTTCCTAATTATAATCTTTAACGCGTGAAATGTTTTATTTTTCAAACTCAACGGCACGTATTTGATCCATTGATGCGCGTCGACCCTTTATGACGTCACTGAGAAATTACGTCGAACGTTTATGACGCGAGGAACCCGTGTTTATACGGATGTAGATACGCATTGCTTTTAATACTGTTATATAAAAGAAAACATTTGCAAATGTAAATATTGTAAATTAAATGGTCACTAAAGCTTGTGTGCTTTTATTTAAATGAATGATACTTTACACATTATTTCAGTCTATTTTTCTCTTTTTATAAAAGGCATTATCTAACTTCAGTTCAAATTGACCTTTCTTTACTTACTGAAATTTTAAAATTACACATATACTTATGTTAACATTAGGTTTTTGTTATTCAATAAGTTTTTTTTTTTTTAAATTACAGTTTTGCAAATTTGAGGCAATCTTCTCCCTTTATCTATTTATTCCTTGACGTTTTTCTAGCAATCAATTTAACAGTTAGACTTGATAGCCTTTACCGAAGGAGGCAAACAAAGCCCCAACAATTTAATAAAATATGTCAGTCAATATAGGACCTTATGATAGCTCAAGGTCATTGTAACGACCTTTAATTTTTTAAAAAAAAAAATGCTGAATTTAAACGAGGATGTTAGAATCAATTTATCATCATATAAAATTTCAGTAACCTGCCCCTTGCTTTGATCGTTTTCAAGCATTACTTGAGTATATTTATATAGCAATTTTCTGTTATCATCCTCCAAATTATTGAAAACTCGATAGCATACTCTGAGTACGATCATTCTTTATACTAAGGCAGCCTACAGACAACTAAGTTGACGTTCCAGAGATTTCAAATACCACATTGAAAGCCAGCATTTTGTAAATTCTATTGTCGTTATAATGACCTTGTTGGCAGATATAGCCTTTCATTGGTTTGAATTTTGATTAGCATATTTAAAACCATTTTAGGACTTATTTTTACCTAATTAGACGGAATAATCCCTCTACCTGACCAATAAATAGGGCTAGTGGTGAGTGTGACCGGTCGAAAGGGAAGAATAGTACCTTGTACTAATCGGGTTACCTTCTATAAATAAAGCATTATTTTTATTATTATTATTAAAGGGGATGCTTACTCCTCCTAGGCACCTGATTCCACCTCTGGAATTTTCGAGGGCACGTAATCTATGCCCTGGTCACATATTTTTGAAGGATTTTTTGTTTTTGTTTTTATGTAAATAAAGGTGCAACATGAGTGTTATATAACACTACTATTGTTTTGCCTGATGTACATAATTCCTTGATTAATTTTTACAAGAACTTTTATTTGTTTTAAAAGATCATGTTATAAAATGTTTCATGACAAGTTTACAAATGAGTGTGTGATAAATTAGTGAGTGGTTACATGAGCACAAACAAACAGAGATAATAAAAAGTTTATTCACAGGTTCTTACGACAAAAATCAAAACAAATGATACATTGTACAAACATTATACCATAAAAATACAACTCTTCGATTTAATACATTTAATTTAGCAAAATTGACTACTATTTTTTTTGCATGTTCCTTAAAACATACGTTAGCGTTCTTGTGTTCTCTTAGATGCAACAGATAGATTTTAACTACCAAAAGTTAGGTACATGGTAATAATAAATAATACTATGGATGATTTAAAGCTTGTCATTTACAAGATATATATCTTAAATCTGTATCAATTGTTCTGTGAATGTGAGAGATAAGTATTCAATTCTTCGAATGTTCCAACATTTCAAAATAGAAATTAAAAAAGAAAATTTATGTAAATTTGGTTGATTTTAACAAAAATCGTGATCTACTAGTACATGAATATATTAAGTTTGTCATGAAAAAAATTGCCACAATTTTCATAAATAATGTAGATTGCGTGATCCTCTGGACAACCTTAGGTATTCCAACGTTTTGTTTATCTATATGCCGAAAAATCTTCAAAATATGTTAACAACTAAGATTATATACAGTTATTCTTAGATTATGTTGATTTAGAATTGTTCAAAGTTTTGTATTTAGAGATAAATAGGAAATGTCACAAGAGAAACTTACCATGAAAACGAAAACACAATGATATTTTGAGTTCCTATAGAGCTTATGAATGAAAAAGAAAAAAGTTAACATAGATTTTAGAGGTACTTCATGATAAGAAACGTATTGACAAGGGGAATTTTTTTTCCTAATCTTTAAATTAAAAAATGCATGAACGTAAGCACAACATGAAAACTACAAATAAATAAAGACAAGTGACTAATGCAAAACCTGATTTCTGAATATGAACAAAACTAAACCCAATTCTCTGAGAAATCTGTGGATAACTTCGATGTACAGAATTCAATGTTCTGTTTCATATTCTTACATGTGTATTTAAAAGTCAAACAAAAATATAATTTTTATCAGCATTTTGATATAATTACTGTTTACTGTATTTTCTGAAATCCACGAATAAATTTGTATATTTTAAAATACTCAACCCTTGTATACCACTTTGCTTTAAAATCAATAAATTTTAAGAAGGCTGACATTTTGAAACAATTTAAAAATCATTCCCTTTTTTAAAATGCAGTGAAACGCTGTATTATTAAATCAAAGTTTGATTAACATGAATCTGCGTTTCTATATCAATAGTAAGTTTAATTATGTTTCAAAACCAATGGGGGATTATGAAATATCTTATTTATTTTATATAAGAAAGCATGGCAACACAATTTATTGAAATGGGAAAAAAGATATCTTTAGCTTTGGATTTATTGATTGATTGATATTTTACGCCAAATCGGCACTATTTCAGTCATATATCGGCGATTTTAGCTTTGGAAAGACTTTGTTTTTATCATATCTTGTTCTACTGTAACCAGATAACAAGAGTGATCAAAGGGACCAAGTCATTAAAACAAATTGATTGAGCTCAGAAAAAGACACGAATAAATGGAAAGTTTGCCAATGCAGAATTTTTTTTCTACTCATTGACCAGAAAAACAAATATTTTGTCTAATTACATAACATATAAAGTACGAAAGCCTGTTAGGATAAATCTAGGGAGAAAAAATTTTAAAGGGCGTTATAACGCCTTTCAAAAAGGCGTTATAACGCGAAAAAAGGCGTTATTACGCCTTTTCAAAAGGCGTTATTACGATTTTCAAAAAGGAGTTATTACGCCTTTCCAAAAAGCGTTATTACGACTTTTCAAAAGGCGTTATTACGCCTTCTCAAAAGGCGTTATAACGCCTTTTGATAGCCATTCTTATGTCTTTGACTTTGATATTGAAGAGGTGGGGGGTGGGCAGCCCATCAAAAAATTGACAAGAAAACAAAAAAAAACAAGAAACAAAATATGAAAAATTTAATCAAATCCATCTTTATTTATGCAATATTTAATAGTATTTTCTGTGTTCCTGCACATCTCACAAACTATTGTCAACACTTTACTTGTGAAAATCTAGGATATAGGCTGATGAAGCTTGGGGCTTTGCTGGCCAGGTATTAAAAAATCATGTCAAATTAGAAAATATTATTCTCTCCTCTTGGATAAAAGCAGGCAAACTTTTTGCATGTGGTATAATGAGAAATTAGCCTTCAAACAAATTGGTGAAATCAATGACCCTTGGTAGAGGTGTCTGGAATCAGAGAAGGACTAAGTTGGTTTAACATTGAAAATATATTACGCATTTAAAAATCTTTTTCCTGGAAATCTAATTGCAATCTGTTTAAATTATTTTTTGAAAATTAATTGTGAAATTCATGTCCCGAGGGTACGTTTCAACCCCTCCCCCCCCCTTCCGGCGTGGGCTAAGCTTGTCATGTATTGAAAATAAAAGGCGTAATAACACCTTTTGGAAAAGCTTAATAACGCCTTTTGAAAAGCCGTAATATCACTTTTTGAAAAGGCGTTATAATGCTATTTTGAAAGGAATAATAACGCCTTTTGGAAAGGCGTAAATACGACTTTTGAAAAGGCGTAATAACGCCTTTTTTCGCGTTATAATGTCTTTTTGAAAGGCATTATAACGCCTTTTAAATTTTTTTTATCCATAGATTAACCCTAACAAGCTTTCGTTAGTTATATGGTTCTGTATATAGACAAAATATTTGCTCTTCTGGTCAATGAGTAGAAAAAAAATCTGCATTGACAAACTTTCCATTTATTCGTGTCTTTTTCTGAGCTCTATCAATTCCTTTTTTATTGACTTCTTCTCTACATTTATGTATAGAGCAGAGAGCGCTTCTTATTAACACTGCGCGGTGTCTCTCGTGTTTTTTTTCCCGTCGTCTGTATGTCACACCTTATATCTTGAGAACTGTTATAGGTATAGATTTAAATCTTACGCCTTTTGAAAAGGCGTAATTAGCCTTTTGAAAAGGCGTAATTATGCCTTTGTAGAAGGCGTAATAACGCCTTTTTTTGCGCCAATACGCCTTTGCAAAATGCGTTATAACGCCTTTCAATTTTTTTTTTCTCCATAGATTGATCCTTATAGGCTTACGTAATAACGAACAATATGTGAAAAGACCTTCGGAAAACCCCGCTTAATATTTCTCCATCTTCTCCGTCATCTCCGATTTATTTTGTTTTATCTTTCTCATTAATATTCATTTTATGTAGTTCTAGTACAAGTTTAGTCTTAACTTACCTGAGAAGGAGGTAAATTTAAATATTAAAAGAAGCGTTTGTATGTATGTTAGACGACGCAAACTGATGTGGATATAAATATCAGGCCCGTAGGAAGCAATTTCAGTTGGAGGAGGGGGGCGCAGCCATACATTTTTAGTTTAGTTGGAGGGGCAATATCAACTACCAAAACTTTCTTTACAAGCAAAAAAAAAAAATCATCAGACGATTTTATTGAGGGGGCACAAGCATATTGTTGCCATGTTTTCTATCTATAGTATTCTATAAATCGGCAAAATTATTGGGGGATATATATATATATATATATATATATATATATATATATATATATATATGAAAGCTTATTTCGCATCCTTGTATTTCGTACTGTATTAGTTTTGAAGGGATCACTCGGTAGATTCTTCATGTGACGTGACATCATCTTCGAACACCTGTTCGTGCAGCCATCCAAACACCTTTTTGAGTTCCCTACAGAATCGATCATAAAACAGTGCGTAGAAAACGATGTTGACGGAAGAGCGGATCACAACTACGAGTAATGTCAAGGACCACGCTTCCTCAAAGATGGCAATGTCATTCATCTAAAATTATAAAAAATGGGAGTTTTTTGTAATTGCATCTAAATGAGAAAACATGTGCTTCAGATAACGTTGGTAAATGCTGAGCTGAAAGTCTGTTATTATTTGTATGAGTAAAGATCTGAAACGATGTCATTCGTGTTACGTGAATAAAACTTAATTTGATCCAAATTCTATTACATAATACAGAATTTCATACGAACCAATAGGCGTAAACATGACTTACCCTGAAAAACATCAAGTAACATTGTGGGGAACATCCTAGCGTCAGAAACAGGAGCGAGGCAAACGACACGTACAGAAGCATGCGTGTTAGCTTGGCCTGTGGCTTCGAAATCTTGGTTGTCTTCAAGTGTCGAACCATTCGGAAGTTCATGAACATCGGCGGATACCAAGCTAAGTTCATGAGGAGGAAGCAGAATACCCAAAAGATGTATTTCTTCTTCATGTCACTGTTTCCAAATTCCGTGTAGACAAAGGAATAAAACGACTCCTCGTTAGGAACATAAGTCAGGAAATGAGGAATGGTGAAAAAGAAGCAAATTCCTGATGTCAGGCAAAGAATTAAATTGACTTTTCTTTTCTTGCACCAAAGCTGTTTAAAACAAAAATAGATAACTGTAAAGTAAGATAAGAAATTATTAAGACAGATATGATTTTTAAATTTCTGTCCTTCTACTCAGATTTTTTATCGGAGTTGCGGGTTCGATTCTCGTTCGCGGTGTTGCGTCAAACATACGGCATGAACATAGGTATTGACTGTTCTTAGCCAAAAGACCGACATGGGAAGTGAAATTCATGGATGAGACCTTAACAACCGGGGTCCCCTGTCCAATAGGCGTTGGCACGATAAAGAACCTTCACTGCTAAATGAATGCCGAGTATAGGTCTTAATTTGTAGCCATTCACCAGCATACGGTGACATCTGTATCTGAGTTAAAAAAAATATCGAATGACGCGTGAAAAACATAGTCAATCAACTTATATTTAACTATGTAATAGTAAAATGTAATATTTTCATACGGCCATCCATCAAATCGATTAAACATCGCCTATTTAATTTAGCAGCCAAGTAAGTAGCTATTTGAAATTTTATTATATAAAGATTAGCTTTTACTTCATAGTTCATAGTAAACATGTCATACTTGTATCTAAAAAAAAATCAGTGATTTTCAAAACTGAAACACTGCTTTCTATATGGTACACAGTGTTAATATTTACTAGGCATTTCGAAAATCAGATAAATCAGAGTAATTCTGATTATGCAGACGTATACATACATAGATTAGGCCTTTCAACTGCCGCTAGGGTTCGATGAAAAGAACGATAACCCTTACCGGATCTTGTTTAGAGCGGGTCCGAGGAAGCTAACTGTTTTTAAGCATGTCAAGTTTTAGCATTTCCAAAGTATTCCTTCACTGTCAGCGGAATCCAGTGGTTTTAAAATTTAGCTCAAATGTTAAACTTATTTATCATGTAGTTACCGACACTGTACAATAATATATAAGTGAAATTTTTAATAAAAATAGAAAGTGATATCCATCCCCCTTAATTTTGACCTGATTAAATTCTTATACTTGATGGTTCTTCTTCGTGCTTAGTGAAAAGATTAAGATAATTTATTGTTGCATTTAATTGTAGAAATATGTATATTTATAGATGAAGCACAACAATGCACACACAAAAAACATTGCATTATATTTTCTTCTTCATAACAACTGTCGGAGAGAGTTAAAAATCTTGAATATAGTCCGTTCCCCATTCATTGATCCCGTTATTCCAGGTATAGAGTGAAGACATTCTCCTTGTTTTGGTCAACCCTTTTGTGTACCAAAGAATATAAGGAACCCTTTTGTGAACATAACAATACCAACTGAAGCAGCCTATATGTCATTCCTATAAACGATAACTCAAAAATCGGCACTTTGTTGGTCGTTTTTTACATTTGAGTTACCTGTCCTTAAAACACCACATAGTACAAATCAAATATTAATAATTAATTTTTTTATGATTTAATCAAAGGTATGTATAGGTTATAATCTTCTTTTGAGAATTTCATGTACCTACAAATCTATGTATCAAATGTTTTTTACCTTATGTGCAACTTGAAAAATTAGTTGAAAGGCCTACATAGATGTAACTCACCTTGGCTTTTGATGGACAGCATACATGGATATACCGATCAAAGGTGGCTCCAAACATAAACCAGAGACTGACCATGGAGGCAAAATGGAAACAAGGGTAACCGACATAGGAGTAGAAAGCGCCATAATTAGGGGAAAACCGAAGAAGAGGCTCAATCTGAGGGAGGCTCTCCACCAGAAAGTAGAGAATTAGAACGAACATGTCGACAAAGGACAAAAAGGTCAAATAGTGTCCTGTGGACGATTGTAATGATCTCTTCCTCCAAACAATGAACGAAAGAGTATTCCCGGTGATTCCCAGAGCAACAAAAATGACGCCAATAATGGAGCTGAAGATCCAGTGAAGCGTCCTTAAAATCCTCAGTTCCTCAGATCTTGGAGAAGGTTCATGGTCGTACATGGACAGTGTGACGTTATTTTCTGTATCTCCAAAGTAAGAGATAACAGAGTTATTTGAATGTAATGATATTCTAGCCATCTCTGAGGACTCCAATTCTTCTCAGTGTGGCTGAATATGTTGCCAATACCGTTATGAAATCATTTCATAAGAAGAATAAATGTCAAAGATAACGAGTTTTAATTAACACCTTAATATGTCATTCTTGAAAATTAAAAACTAAGAGACAATAATTGCAAGAAAATAATTATCATCCAGAAACATTACCAATACTAAATAACATTGGAAACCCCTCGCTGGTTGCTAATTATCATTACCAGTATATCATTTAATTTCTATAAAATAATTGAATCTGATTGGATAAAAAATTGTTTTGATAACGGCATCAATAGATTCTGGGGTTCACTTGCACTTAGCAGCCGGAACTACTTTGGCTGACATTACATATTTCCCCTTCCAGACTACTTCGTGGAAAAAATCAAATATTTTAATTAATTTAATTTTCCTGAATTCAAGAATTTGTGCGTTACTTTACTGATTTATTTTCTATTTCGTTCTTACCCCCCTTTGCTCTACAAATTTGATCGTCTGCATGACAAGAATGCAGTAACGGGAAAGAAGGAAAGAAATCATCATACATATGTTAAATGTTTGTCTTTGAGAAAGCTGTTATGAACAGTAGAACAGCGAAGAAATGCCAATTACTCGTATTTACACTCTGATATGTCGATGGATTTTTTCCGTTATTTCTCGATAATGACAAGGAGCACACGGCGAATGTGACCGGTTGGCAGGAGATGCTCATTCGTCCATGGCACCTTGTGAAATGTTTGTGTTTTGAGACCCCCCCCCCCCTTTTTTTAATATATGTATACATCATATTGTGTTCATAATCCTATTTATTTTATATTTCAGCATAATATGTACATGCATTCTCTTACAGCAATTATATTTTAACTGTTAAAGTTTACCAAGTGTTCCATAAAACGATGTCTAGTAATTCCTATTATTTCATGTTTGATAAATCCTACACTTTCATGTTTGGTGCATGACCAACTTTCCCACGGTGTGAAATAAGGACTGTAAACTCATGGATACTTAAAAATATGGACTCTTATAATCATATCAGCAATTGTTATGCGTGTTTATTACATTTAACTTACAATTCATTGTATAAATTAATCGTAATTTACCGTTTTAATGTCCGTCTGCCGACCACGTTGTTTTCCTTTTTGGTCATGGCTTACGGAAGGTTCTAATTTATAAGGGGGGTTAAGGTTATTGTGTTCCGTCCTCGAACGTCATTATTTTATTACTGTTAAATTATATGCAAAATGTATTGTACATCTTAAAGTTACTTACCTTCATTGTTTATTATTATGTATTTGTTATACGGTTGGGCGTCACATATTTCGTATTTTTCATGGTTTGTTCCACTTCGGCGATATCGTTAGTATCGTCTGCCATTTTGGTCTATACTTTCCTTTTTGGTTAGGTTAAGCGCACTGCGCATGTCCGGTAGTTTACCCTATATAAACGTCGCCACGGACGCTCAAGTTTCAGTTCGACTTTGCAGAACGCCCGCTATCAATCTTTAATAGAACTAGTACGTAACCACTGATATTTTTGGTAAATTAACAGCAAATTAGTAACGTTAACAGAGTTTTACTATAACTTTCATTGACCAAACTGAATTATTAAGGATTTCAACAGTTACTATTATACCATATATATTAATGTGACGTCCGACCTGACCAACTATACTACCTCGCCATTGTTTGATTATCATATTTATTCCGTTATTAAATTATTGTTGAAACTTAAAATATCTTCTGTTGTGGTCTTATTTGCCTCTACAATGTAGTATTATTGACCAACACCAGAGATTTACAAGGATTTACTATCATTACAAGGATTTACCAAATTACCAGGATATACCATATATTGGTCATACTGAAATATATCTCCTTCATTGGAGATGTGATCAATTTAGAAGCCTCATACCCCGGGCACGTTACAGAATTTTGGTGGCAGCGGTGGGATAAAAATCCTTTGATCATTTCAGTACCATAGAATCCTTTATTCCTTTGATTTGGTCATATTTCTTACAACATGGAAATAACAGAAGATAGTGACCAAATATTATTACTTAATGGTAAATCCTGTGTTGGTCAGTTGGAGGCAGGTGAGAACACAACAGAATTAGCAGACGTCCTGCGGACTCCACTCCCAGATGACCCAAATAATGAAACAAGTCTTATTACCTTAGATGCCACTCCCAGTGGGGAAGTACAATTTAATGTAAAATTTAACTTGTTTGAGAAAAATTAGCAATCTGAATCTACACAGTGTTCCAGAACAATGTCTGGAGTCAGTACAAATTATAGTGATTCTTTGTCGGAATGCCTGAAGAGCATTCAAAGTCAGATCAGTGAGCTGAGTACTACGTTGGTGGAAAGGGTGAACATTTTGGAAACCATAGTTGGTACTAAAGGGCCACGGAGTTTCGATTCCAGACGGAATTCACTTGTATCGTTTTCTGACGTCCAGACGTCACCGTCAGTTAACAATAGGATACACTCGGGTGGTCTGGGTACTTCAAATAGATGTGCGCGTTCATACGAGCTTGGTTCCACTGATAATTTAGTTGAGGCTGGTTCCTTTGGTCCTGACACACGCCTATTGGCGCATGTTCACATTCGACCATGGACGCATGGTCAAGGTCCGCCCAACCTGCAGCCCAGGGAATGGCTCAGTCTCCATCTCACAGCCCTCAGGGTCCAGAGCGTACTGCTGAGTGTGCGGGTGAGATGATTTTTAAGGATCTGAAGAAACCTGCAACATATAATGGCAAGAGCAGTTGGCAAGATTATTATATTCAGTTTGAAATTGTATCAGAACTTAATGACTGGAACAACACAGTTAAAGCTATTCAGCTTGCAACAAGTTTACGGGGGGTGGCTCAACAAGTGCTCAGCGACATAGCTCCTGAGCACAGAAAAGATTATAAATATCTAGTCCAAACTCTATCTCAGAGGTTCGAACCCAAAAATCAGGCTGAGTTATACAGAGCTCAAATAAAGAATAGATTACGAAAAAGAGATGAATCTCTTACTGACCTTTCTCATGAAATTAAAAAGTTGGTTAGATATGCATATCCAGATGCATCATCTGAAGTACAAGAACAGTTGGCTCGTGACTGTTTTATTGATTCACTGAATGACCATGAAAATTGAATGGGCAGTCCACTAAGGTAAATTGTCAAGAACCAAAACAAAATGGATTGATTGTCAAAGCAAATATTTATGGGACAGAAATGAATTGTCTCATAGATACAGGATCTACTATCACTGTTATACATCCTGAAAAGTTTGATCTGTTGTCAGAAAAACCAAAAGTAATTCAAGATACCTTACAGCTAAAAATGGCTGATGGAGGTGTTGTTCAATCATTTGGTTATGTTTATTTACCATTTGAGATAAATGGGAAGATATTTGAACAGCAAACTGTTATTGCTGCTGTTGAAGCACCCATAGTACTGGGTTATGACTTTTTATCAGCTTACAATTGTCAGATAGATATTTCAGGGTCATCTATTGTCATTCAAGGCCAGAAGGTTCAAGGCTTCCTAGAAAATGAGTTGCCTTCCTTGTTTCGAATTGTGTTAAATGAAAATATTGTGATACCTCCACGCTGTGAGATGATTGTTAATGCCTCTGTGGTTGATTACAAGAGCCAATTCTGCAGAGGGCATTGTTGAACCTTTCCAGTCAAAACTTTCAGAAAATGGTGTCCTGGTTGCTAAGTCAGTAGTTAATCTTGGCACAGGACAAATACCTGTGAGAATAGCCAACTTAAATGATGACCCCAAAACACTGTACAAATATACTTGTGCAGCAATTCTTGAACCCGTTACTAAAGTCTATCCTTTAAGCGAAAGCTTAAAAGAAGGAGAAACCAAGAGAATTGGTCAAATACACCAAACTTGTCAAAATAATAGGGAGCTCCCTGAACACTTACAAACATTGTGGAATAGTATTCCAGAAAGTGTAACCAAACCTCAAGATGCCTCTGTCAAAGACTTACTTATTAAATACTCTCATGTGTTTGCTAAATCCAAAAGTGATTTAGGACGTACAAATGCTGTACAACACCATATTGATACTGGTGATGCAATACCAGTCAGACAGCCCCCCAGACGTTTACCTCTTGCTAGGAAGGAAATGGTTGAAAATGAAATTAATAACATGCTTCAAAATGGCATAATTGAACCTTCCAGCAGTCCATGGGCTTCAGGGTTAGTTGTAGTTGAGAAGAAAGATGGCACTCCGAGACTATGTGTCGATTATCGTCGTCTTAGTGAAAAAGTTCTTAAGCGTGACTGTTATCCAATTCCTAGAATAGATGATTCAATAGACACATTAAAAGGTTCTAAATGGTTTTCCACCTTGGACTTAGCCAGTGGATATTGGCAAGTGGAAGTTAATCAAAAAGATAAGGAGAAAACTGCTTTCAGTACACATATGGGCTTGTTTCAATTTAATGTCATGCCCTTTGGGTTGAGCAACGCCCCTGCTACTTTTGAAAGATTAATGGAGTCCGTTCTGTCAGGTTTGCACTGGCAAACATGTCTTGTGTGTCTTGACGACATAATTGTATTTTCAGAGACCTTTGAGTCCCACTTAGAAAGATTGTCATAAGTTTTAGAAAGAATAGGAAAAGCAGGTCTAAAAATATCACCCAAAAAGTGTCAATTATTTCAACAGAAAGTTCATTATTTAGGACACATAGTCTCAAGCGAGGGAGTCTACAAAATTGGCCACAACTTAGAAATGTACTAATGTAAGGAGTTTTTTGGGCACCTGTTCTTATTACAGAGGTTCATTAAAGGCTTTGCACACATTGCCAAACCCCTTCACAAACTTACTGAGAAAAAGAATAAATTTATTTGGTCACCTGACTGTGAGCATGCCTTTCAAACATTAAAATCTGCCCTTATTACCTCCCCTATTTTAGGGTACCCATCTCTGGATGAAAATTTTATTTTAGATACAGATGCCAGTGCATACGGCATTGGAGCA